AACGGTTCTCCACAAGATTAGTGTTGTGTGTAGAACTTTCACCTGGACATGTCAAGCTGGTGTGAGAAGGAAAAGTTTTGTGGCTTGGAATAAGGTTTGCAAGGGGGCTTAAATGTGATCAATATTGATATATAGAAAACTGTGAATTTGTTGAAGTGTTTATGGAATATCAGTATGAAAGTGGACAATCTTTGGGTTAAATGGATTCATGTTTATTACTTAAAAGGAGAAGATGTGATGACTACTGCTATAAGGACTTCTAGTTCTTGGATTTTGAAGCATATCATGAGCAGTATGAGTTATGTGAGCCAGATCCAACTTTTATGGGATGATATGATGATGAAGAGAAAGTTCTCTATGAATAAGTTGTACCACCAGCTGGTGGATGACAATAGTAGAGTGGATTAGTGTCAAATGATTAGGCATAACTATGCCAGACCGCGTGCTGTTTTTACTTGTTGGCTTGCTTGTCATGGTCGTCTGCCCAAAAAGTCGAGGTTGATGAAGTTGGGCCTGCTGCAAAACAGTATGTGTGGCATTTGTAGTGAGGATTCTCAAACGCAAGATCATTTGTTGTTTAAGTGCAGTATCTTAACGTCTATTTGGCAAGATGTGTTGTGTTGGTTGGACATTAACCATCAGCCTTGTGATTGGAAGGAAGAAATTGGTTGGCTGATAAGACAAACAAAAGGAAAGGGTTGAAAAGCTGAAATTTTGAAGATGGTTGCTGTTGAAACCATATACGGAGTGTGGCGGTATCGTAATACAGTAAGATTTGAACATAATAGAGATCATACTAAAGTTACTAAAAATATTATTGATTGTATTATGTATAGAGGGTGGCAAATCCTTAAGTATAGAGCTTACATAGCTAAATATTGGATGTAATTTTTTGTTTTGGTTTATCCTTGTTTTTGGGCTGGATCCTTAGCGATAGCTGTGTATAGTTTGATTTATGAAATATATAATTTTTTATTTTAAAAAATAAAATTAAAAGATAAAATATAAAAAAATATTAATGTTGTTTTGATAATGTAAAACAAGTTATATTATATTATAAATTATTATTTTTTAAATGATTTATAATTTGAGATAAAAAGATTTAAACCAAAATTTTAATTATTTAATATTTTTATATTAAATGAATTTATAAAGTATGATTTAAAAAAAAAAGGAGATTCTAATCGGAAGGACAAACTCATTTTGAAGAATTCCATCGTCCACTACCTCATTTCCCTAAACTGGAGTCGCACTGAACTCAACTCATCGATAAGCTCGCCGGGAAACGCCGTCGTACGAAGAAAGCCCACCAAAAACCGAAAGAAACCTCAGGTTTTTCTTCTTTCTTGTTAGTTCAAAATATCCCAATTTTTCCTTCCCCTCTCTTATAGCGCGCGAGATTTCGATTTCGCCGGCGATTACCGCCCCTGCAAAAGGCTACTTCCCATAGAACTGTGTCGCAGCAGATCTTTATTCTGCACTGCAATTCACAACGTAGCAATCTAGTTCGTATATAGATATATTCATATAGTAGCTTAATATTGGACACAATCATCTGTCTAGGGTTAAGTTTACAGGGTATGGTGCAACGATCTCTCCATTTTTTGTATTTTCATGAATAAATTAAAATTAAAATAATTGGATCTACTGTATTGGAAATTTTGAAGACTTTATGTAACCGCCTGTAATGTATATTAGCATTTCTTCTGATTCTATCTATACCAGAAATTTGTTTGTATCAGTTAATGTTGCAGAGTATTGAAGCAGTTATGGAAACAAAGAGCCTCTTGCAACTTCTCTATTTCAAACTTAAACAAACGCATGTCTTACATAGTTTTCTTTTTTCCACTTTAAACTGAACTAAAAGTGTGAATTTAATGTATTTATCATACTGATTTTGATTATGGTATTAGGTAAGGGGAGAACATTATCCCTTGGTTTGATCATTGTGGCTGACCTTATTGAGTGGGAAAGTGTTTGGTTGTCGTTGTTGTAGATGTATTAGGCAGAGCTTTGGTTCAACTATGACAACAATTATAGGTCCTATTTAACGGGAGTTTAACATGGACTAATATTTTATGATACTCTATTTAGCTACAATGACAAATTCTGGACCCTATGCGATAGTCTGCCTTGCATGCCCTCAAAGAAGGTCCTGGTATTAGGTCACTGTTGTTCTTGATTTTCTTTTGCAACTACTTTCTTCTCAGGCTGTTTTTGGTTTAGGTGAGGTTAGAAGGTTTGTAACTTAGATTGGACATGGAATATTTAGAATCAATCTTATTAGCATTAAACTGTCGGGGGGATAAGCTATTGTGATTAGATAGACTGTAATGAAGCTGCCAACTAGAATAAGACGAGTGGTTGGTGGCTCAAATGGTTCGTGGGGAATTGAATAGCAGAGACACATGGAAGGAATCATTTCAGTTAGGGAAATGCCACAATGTCTAGGATTGAGAAAGAGCTAAAGGCACAATGGTACTAGCACCCAACCCAAGTATATAGGGGAGGTCTAAATAATGTAAGGGCGTGGAATGAATGAGTCAAGTCTCTCTCTCCCCTCTGATATTTTTCTATTTCTTCCTCTACGTGTCCTTTTTTGAGTATTCTGCTTTGATTGTTATAGCTTTAGCATTGTATTTGTGCCTTTTAGCCTTTATAAAGGAAATTGAAATTCCACCTAGTTGTATTATCAATCAGAGTTATCAATCCCGGAAAATAACGGTGTGGAGCAGTGGCTGGCCGCTACGGTGTAGCAGTTTGCGTCTCGGTTTGAGATCGTGGTCGTCTTTGACTTGGACGGGTCGCTGGAGTGGAGTGCTTCCCGGCTCGGAGGGGGTTTCAACCCGCTATCTCGGTTTGAGATCGCAGTCGTTTTTGGCTTGGAGCGGGTCGCGGGAGTGGAGTGCTCGGAGTGGGTTTCTACCCGTTGTCTGGGTTTGAGGTCGCAGCTGTTTTTGGCTTGGAGCGGGCTGTGGGAGCGGAGTGCCCAGAGCGGCTTTCAACCCGCTATCTATTTTGAATGAGAAAAACCATAACTAAGAAAACTCTCTCTTCTCAGGCTAGTTTTCGAAAGTTCTTCTTCCTACTTCTGTCTTCTTCTTTTCTTTTATTTTCTTTCTTTTCTTCTTTCTTTACTCTTTTCAATGTCCTCTGTTTTTTCTCTACTTTCTTTTCTTCTTTTTTTACTCTTCATACTATCCTCTGTTTCTTTTTTTTTTGAAGTAATAATAATTTTATAACTCTATTCTTCTGTTTTATTCTTTTATTTGTAGACAATGGCAACATCTTCATATGTTTGTTTGAAATTTAATATAAGATGTGATACTTTCTATGTTCGTTTGAATTTTAATTTAAGATGTGATGTTTTGAATTTGATTTAGAGTTTTTTATTAAGCCTTGTGCATTGATATTTGATTTTATGAATTTTTTATGGGTATTGTGTTATTTGTTTAGTTTTTTCATTAAATATATGTTTTCTAGTTATTATTCATATAAGTAGTCCAAAAAATAGTCAAGTAGCGGTTATCCCGCTATTTGCTATTCCATTTTTGGGGTCGGGCGCTCCGCTCCGCTAACTTGGATTGATGACTCTGTTATCAATAAAACAGCACCATTCCCCTTAATTTTCCTTATAGGGTCATTACATAGATTATATTATCCATGCACACACTTTAAATTTGATTGGTGTTTCTGCTTGGTGACTAAGACTCCCATTTGATTATACCTTGGTGTCTGTTGAACAAAAATGACATACTTTTGCATATGACAATTGTTGACATTTGTATCATGATGAGGTATTTAAATTGTGACTTTCTTGAAAATATCTTTTTATGAAAAAAACTCTGGAGCATTAATTCTGGAAACTGCAACTATGCTATATTTTGGTCGAGAAACATATGCATTGTGATAGAAACCAGAAAAATATGATGAACACTGAGTATTATTTACTGCAAATGGTTGAGCTTGAAGCTCTTACAATGGTGGATGAAACCGTAATATAAACCAGAGTTCTATGGAACACTAACCCAGAGCAGAATTGCTCCTAAATCAGAGAGTAACTCTCCTAACAACTTTCTAACGAACTTTCAGAATGCCTTACTCATTTCCCTCCCCTTTCTTTTATAACACAAAATCCCTTAAAATTAAGGAACACTCTAACTGACTATTATTCTTACAGCTTCTAGAAGCTGTGCTGATGTGGATTGACCTCAATGATTGGGTCATCACACACATAAGAACTCAGTATCCTATCACATTGATTGTCATTTATCCTTAAAATCAAAACAGTTTATTTAAAAAGATGTTTTGAGGTTTCCTTAATCCAATTTCAACACTATTCCCGGTCCAAAATATTCGAAAGATTAACAGTGATGTAATATTCCTAATTTTAGGTGTGATGAAATATTCCAAAATATTGACTTCATTTTTTGGTTTTAAGTTTGAAAGGAAATATATCTGTTTTATGATGCTTTTTCATGATATATGAATACTTCTTGACTTCTCTATAATGCATTTAATAAATTTTATATTATTTATTGTTGGATTTCAAAAGTGGCCCCTTTGCATTGACAGCTGCCGTGTCACTTGCAGGGTCATGATAGCTCTTTTGGGTCATGTCTTCAGTGATTACCAATTACCATTACCAATGTTATACATCTTGCAATATTGAAAACCATAACTAAAGTTATATATATTTAATTACTCTGACCAGTTTGAGACATACACACCCATATGAAGAGAGAACAGTGTAAACCCTTTCAGTTGGTCTCTTGCTCTTTTGTGCAAATATGCATCTAACTCTTCTTTTCTCCAGAAATTAGTATCCCCTTGTGTGATTAGTTTATGAACATACAGTCTTTTAAGGAATAATAGCAGCTACAATACAATATAATAATTTGCACTCATAAGCTATTGCCTGTAATGTAGGAACTGCTAGTTTTAGATCTTTCTCCTTATTTACTAATGTTTTCTTGCAGGGTTTTTTCCTAGTAGAAGCCATGTCTTCATCATATCTTCCGGCTACAACAGAGTCAATTGCACAGGCATTGGAGGCCAAAGACCATTCCGATTCAATCTCCATTCTATATCGTGTGCTTGATGATCCATCTTCTTCACCCGAAGCTCTGCGGATGAAAGAGCAGGCCATCACAAACCTTACTGACCTTCTCAGGCAAGAGAACCGGGGAGAGGATCTGCGTAGCCTTCTCACCTCATTGAGGCCCTTCTTCTCCTTGATTCCCAAGGCAAAAACTGCAAAGATTGTAAGGGGAATAATTGACTCGGTTGCTAAAATACCAGGGACATCTGATCTACAAATTTCACTCTGTAAGGAAATGGTGCAATGGACTCGTGACGAAAAGCGTACTTTTCTGAGGCAACGAGTTGAGGCAAGGCTTGCAGCGCTTCTGATGGAAACTAAGGAGTATTCAGAAGCTCTGACTCTTCTTTCCGGGTTGGTCAAAGAGGTTAGGCGATTAGATGACAAGCTTCTTCTTGTAGACATCGACTTGTTGGAAAGCAAGCTGCACTTCTCATTAAGAAACCTTCCAAAGGCAAAAGCTGCCCTCACTGCTGCGAGAACAGCGGCAAACGCCATTTATGTTCCTCCTGCTCAGCAAGGGGCCATAGACCTTCAGAGTGGAATACTTCATGCTGAGGAGAAGGATTACAAAACTGGATACAGCTATTTCTTTGAAGCCTTTGAGTCTTTCAATGCTCTTGAAGACCCTAAGGCTGTTTTTAGCTTGAAATATATGTTGTTGTGTAAGATCATGGTGAATCAAGCTGATGATGTGGGTGGAATTATATCTTCTAAAGCAGGATTGCAGTATGTTGGACCTGACTTAGATGCTATGAAAGCTGTTGCCGATGCACATTCTAAGCGATCCCTGAAGTTATTCGAGTCCGCTTTGCAGAACTACAAGGCCCAGTTGGAGGAAGATCCAATAGTTCACAGGCACCTTTCTTCTCTATATGATACCCTTCTGGAGCAAAATCTTTGTAGATTGATTGAGCCATTCTCAAGAGTTGAGATTGCACATATTGCTGAGCTTATTGAGCTTCCCATCGATCACGTTGAGAGGAAGATGTCTCAGATGATTTTGGACAAGAAGTTTGCTGGGACGTTGGATCAAGGCGCTGGATGCCTTGTCATATTCGATGATCCCAAGACAGACGCAATATATCCGGCCACTTTAGAGACCATTTCCAATGTTGGGAAAGTGGTTGACAGTCTTTATGTTAGGTCTGCCAAAATCATGGCATGAGCTCTCTAGTTATTTTACTTCAGTGCCACATTACTTGATGTTTTCATTTCCATGCTGACTAGTATATCATTGTTTAATTTCCTTTTGTTAAACTCAAATTGTGAAAAACTTTTTCCTTTGGCACAGAATTAAATGTTTAGAATTGCTTACGGAGAGGGAGTTATTTTATAGCTTAGAAGGAGAGGGAGTTATTTTATAGACAAAATGCGCTACAACTACAATTATAGATATATAGTCCTTTAAAATATTTTTAATTTGATTATTGTCTCAACCTTTTTATTCTATGTTTGGTACCGAAGCTGAGCAGAATGAAGCACGATCTTTATTATTGAACGAAACATTACAAGTGTGTAATACGAGTTTGAGGGCATGCATATTGGGGTGTCTGTCCTAACCTTAGATTTAAGACTAGCACTAACATATGTAGAATTAACACTAGGGAACACTGAATTAGAACAACCAGTACTAGAAGCAGCCTTGGGACTAAAGCTTGACAGGTTAATAGAAGAAAACTCAAAGTCAAGTAACACCTCATGGGAAGCCTGGGATTTGACAAGGCACTTGTTAGAGGTAAATGAAAAATAGACTCCACTGTGACGACAAAATTAACCAGACTCTAATATATGTTAGAAATTAAACTAGATGAAGATATATTTTCTGTTTTCGTTCTATAACTGAATTCAGTTATTTGTAAGAGTTAGTTACAAGAGTGTTGACACCTTATTACTTATAAAGTAAGGTGATTTATAGTTCTAGAGTTGACAGATGTCAAGACAACCAGTCTACTAGGCTATATTCTATATCTACTCTAATAGGAGCGAAACACCCCTACCGCCACTCTGATGTACTCCTTCCGTTTCGAAATGACCATTGTTTAAAGTTTTTGTACACAAATTAAAGAATGCAATCCGATTGTCATAAAATATTACTTTTTTACTAAATTAGTTTTATTAATGTGTTAGAAATAGTATACAGAATAATAATCAAATGACACAATTGAAAAAATAATAATTATTACTACATTGAAAAATGAGAATGACATTTATTTTGAAACAATTTTTTTCTTTCTAAAACGACATTCATTTTGAAACGGAGAGAGTATTTTTCATTGTAAATTTGAAAAGCTAATGAGTGTAACCTTTTTTTTTGTTGCTAAACCTGACTTTGAGAGTTTCTTAATCCACCGTTTATACTCTTAGCCACCTAGTGCATTTTCTTTTATGCCTCCTGCTTCTGGAGCTGTATTTTCGGACACACATTTTTTTTACGCTGGATGTTTCCGGAGACATATCTACGGAAAAAGTTCCGTAGATGCATATCTGAAATCTTATTAAAATATTTTTTTTTTTAAATTCAATTTTGTTGGGTCGTAGATGAAAATTAACTGTTGCATATATATATATATATATATATATATATATATATATATATATATATATATATATATATATATATATATATATATATATATATATATATATATATATATATATATATATATATATATATATATATATATATATATATATATATATATATATATATATATATATAGTACATCAATGTCATCAAAATATAGTACATAAAAAAAACCATCACAGTCACTACTAAGTGTGCCTGACAACATCTCCATTCTTTTCTCTGCCTATGCCTCTGCCGTTTCCTCTGCCTCTACCGTCTCCTCGACCGCCCGGTGTAACACCCTTCTAAACCCCGCAAAAAATATATAAATAATCAGAGTAATTATCATGCATCTCACAAAAGGGTGTCACATAAAATTTCAAAACATCACACAAATACCTGTCATGCTCATTAACACTTAAATTAAATTCATACTTTTTATAAACTTTCACCTTAAGCATGTACCAGCGGATTTACTTCAATCATAAAAGATATAATGGAAGTCTCATACTCATCACATTCATAACCAATACTTAGGCATAAAAGTCAAAACTCCACATAATTCAAATAAACATAACAACATAGAGTAGAGTACATAATGCATCTCTCAAACATAATTCGAAATCTCCCTAGTGTTACATGACCAGAGCACGACTCGACCCAACTAAAATAAAAACACAAATCAAGCTACTTCAATAGCTACCTCGCGCTAGAAGCAACTCTACTTCTCGGTACCTGAGCGATGTCGTATAAAATACCATTCCAACATAAGGGTGAGAGTTCACATAATTATTGAAATTATAAGATAATAATTAATCTAAGGCATACAAGCATAATTCAATTATTCTCACACTTCAAAGTTTCATCAAAAAAGTATCACTCAAGTAACCATACCATTCACAATTATATACACACAATCCACAATTTCACCAATTTCAATAATTCACACAGATACACATAATCTCATAGCACAAGCATATAAACAATGAGACTCAATGCAAACTCAACGCAAGACCCAATGCAACTCCTGCCATTTGGTTCATATAGAACCCATCAATTCCCATTCAAAATTATGGATACATCGCTTATACCCCACTAGGAATGACATCTTAGTCATTCTACCCCAGTGATTACTCCACTAGGAATGACATCTTAGTCATTCTACCCCAGTGCGTACGACTATATCACTTATACCTCACTAGGAATAACATCTCAGTCATTCTACCCCAATGAGTACGAGTCTTGTCCATGTCTTATGTAATACAAACCATGATAACTGAATCATGATAAACATATGCATACATTAGGTAGTTCCCTTTTGTATCCCTACTTTAGGTCCACTTTGCATGATAACTTTTAGGATTGACTAGTCTCCCATTAGTGTTCCCTCTTCTCTTCTCATCTTCAAACATTCATAAAACACTTAATAAAGAATGACAAGTGTAGCACGCTACGAGCCTTAAGCTACTTGAGAAATGGTAATTGAGGGGCCTCCTCTCAAGGACCTAGAGTGTTTAGTGTATACCCTTTGGGTGATATACGACGCATTCGCTCTTAGGTCATAGTCTCTAGTGCGACATGAGTTACAAATCAAATTCAAAACACCTCTTCTCTAAAAAACACAAAAACATTTCAAACCTTTTTCACCCTTTGGGGTTCTTAATAAGGAAAATCTTTTCATAACAAGAGTGTCGTTAACTCTTAGTTCTACCGCAAACGGTAACGCCTAAGTCTCCAATGGTCGAGCTGCATACACCAACTGCTAGAACTATCTGTTAACCTTACTCGGGCCTAAAAAACTGTTGAACCAACCTGTGGTCCTTTTAGCCCAAACTACGTTTGCTCTGATCTTTCGTACCAGACGAAAGTACGTAGGCACGAGACGCGATATCTCGGCGAGCAACCTTCCCTTTTCTTTAGCCATAGTTAGGCGAACTACGTTGACTCTGACTTTCCCATTGCATGAGGGAGTACGTAGGCACATAGCGGCGATGCTCTGCCGAGTCAGTTTCTCTTTTGTTTTTCTTTTGTCCTTAAGCCTTTAGCTAGATAGTTTCAACACACCCTTTTAGATAGACAACAATGCATGGATCCCGTCGAGTACGACGGACGTGAGGGGTGCTAATACCTTCCCCTTGCGTAACCGACTCTAGAATCCAGACATGGTTGCGATGACCCTGTCTTTCCCTTTTTCTTTAGGTTTTTGCGATCGTTTCCTTTCCCTCCCTTTGGGATAAATAACGAAAGTGGCGAATCTTCTGTTTTTCCGCCGGTGGTTTTTCGCAGTTGCGACACTATGTTCCAAAGATTATAACTTCTTAAACTTTCAACTTTTATGGGCGTTTCTTTTTGCCAAATATCCTTCTTGATGTCCTCTATAACTTTGCTTTAGAGATCAAACATCAATTCATGCTCTAAAGGTCTAAAATCTTGAAGGCCATTTATGCACAAAACTAGGCCATGACCTGTTTGACCTAATGTCAGACCTAATTTTCAGTGCCACAACCTCAACCTCCAATTCATGTCATTTTCACCTCAATCATCCTTTTGGGTTGATTCTTTTTGCATTGTATTCTTCTCCATGAAAGGATCATCTGGCTCAAAGAAAATCAAAAAAATGCACAAGTAGATTGCATTTGGCCTAGCTATGAACATGGGTACTTGAAACTGAGTTATGGTTCATGGTCAGTTTTGCAATTTCATCCAATTCTCATTTTAAGCCAAGCCTTGCATGTGTTTTGTCCATGATGATGTTAAGTGATGCATTGTGATAAAAGCCGACTCAAAATTAGAGGATTCTTAATGCGTTTTGGCTGACTTCATGATCAAGCTTGGTCACACTTTTGACACACTTCATTTCACATGATTGTAGCTAATTCTCACATGTATTCCACTCATTCACATCAGCTATAAATAGAGGAAGCATTTGCACTGAAAACAAGCTTAGATAGCCTCTCAAACCTCTGCTCAAACTCATAATTTCTCTTCAAAATTTGAGATATCGTGTTTTATTTCCAAGATTTTCCAACTCAATTTCTTGCTTCCATTAGTTTCCTTACCTTCTTCTAAAGCTGAAGCAACAAGAGCCAAGTCACTAAGTTGCTTTGACCAAATCCAGTTTTCAACACCTCTGATCATCATTTAGAGAAGGTAGTTCTGAGTATCATTTAGACTCGAACAAGTTACCATAATATAGTCTCACTCTCTCTGATCGTTTTCCCTAACCTATCTTGTGTTGATTCTTCATTTTAAGCATTTAATTTTTGTTTTCGTGTTTTCTTGTTTCATTGAGTTTCCTTCAAATTCTCTCTGCTCACTTTCAATCAATGAAAATGAAGCATGGGGTTGAGTTCGCATTGATGAAACAGTCACAATGCTGGTGGATTTGTGACCTAAGCTTGCCATTTGACAAACTCTGGCGAGTAACTCACCAGAGAAGATGGTTGGAAGTGCTTCGTGGTGGCTTGAGTTTGTTTTATTTCAAATATGATCCAACGCGTGCTTTTACTTAAGGTCCACCGTGTCTTTCATGTTTTAGATATTTAGATCTATTTTAATGAGATTTAATGGCTGCACGTGTTTTATTTCTCAGCCTTAGA